CCCCCTCCCCGCGCATATGAACAGGCTCCAACCATCCCCCTTTTTGTCCGCCCCCGCCGACACCGCCGCCGCTCTCTCGTGGGAAACTTCAGTTTCGTGCACGAAACCGCCTGCTCGAACGGCGGTTTTGTCAGTCGCCGACGTAGCACCGCGATGCACCGATTCTTCGGACGCAAATGCGTCACCCTCGACGTATGTCAATCGTCGCCGAGGAGCTCGTTTCACGATCTCACGTTTCGATAATTCCGTCCGGCGCGTCCCGGCGCTTCGCAACTCTCGTCAGCGCTTCTTCGCGCGCGGCGCGAAGATGCGCGTCGCGCGAAACGTGTGTTTTCCTTCGTGTCGTAAACCGTATATCGTATGAGCCGGGGGGTTACTTCGGTTTACGGCGCAGTTCGCGCGCTGCTGGAAAGCTCCGTGTCGGCAGAGTGAGATGGAATGTTGAGTAATGCGCCTCGAGAAACTATCGCGCGAATCGGACGTGTGTCGCATAATATTTCGGAAGTAAATGAATGGAAATAAGCGAGCAATGAAATGATGGATACGATGAAACAGAACTAAAATAATTAATAAAGTAAAATAAGAAGGTAAAAACTCGGCGCTGACGAGAGTTAAAGCTGACCTGATGATGCTCCGTGCATTACCAAATTTAGCTTTAATCACCGCGCAACAGTGCACAGCGTCTTTTAATGGCATATATTCATCTCGACAAAAAGAGAATTAATCAGTAAATACGAGTTGATGAACGTACGATTGAACCGTTTATGTTGCCACTACAAAATAACAAATGCGCATCGGAACAACATTTAATTGGATGGATGTAATCAATTACGCAATCAATGTTTCATTTCTCGATAAAAAATTTACTGTTTAATTCAATTTGCATCGCATTCGTCGAAAACAGAAGCGACTTTTTCTGTTCTCCTTACATCAATTCAGTGGAATGTGCAGCAAGCCTCGGCGCATTTTAATCGATCGTTTCGAAAAGTGCACGCGTTAGACAGAGAAAGAAAATGCTCGCACGAAGAGCGCATAAATAATTTTTATGTTCCTCACAGATGCTCGCGGCAATTATTGCGACGAATACTTAGCGCACTTTAATAGCACTGCACTATAAATATTTATTCTTTTGCATAGAAGTTTGTCGAAACAAAGTTTTAACTTTTTCGGAATAATTGATCTCTTTGAAAAAACAATGGAGAGAACGCGTCCAAAGGATTCCTAGGACGCGTCCACTAGTCTGTTTTATGCGTTACGGAATTAAACTCACTCAATTGCAGTTACTTTGGCAACAATTCAAGATACACGAGCAAATATTTCTGTTGTACTAATTCATTCCGACTGGTTTATCCGGATGGTCTGCGCAGTTTATCCGGTTGCTAAAATAAGTGTGGACCTTTGAAACAATTCTGCAGAATTTCTCTCTATTTGCACCATGTATTTCCCTCTTTCGTTGTCTATTTCTCTAATTTTCTCTACTTATCTAAAAAAAAATCTCGCAATTGCTGTAAAAACGTTTTCATACTCGGAATGTGCTTGTAAAACCGCTTAATGTCCTTCAGCTTTGATTGTTGTGTTTATCTTAAAATTGGAGAAAGTCGGCGATACATATGTTAAACACAATTTAAAAAAAATTGTGTCATTTTATTACTATTTCGCTCATGTGGAAATAAAATAAGCAAAGTTAATAGCGTTGATTTGCTGAAAAAAAAAATCCGCACTATTTGCGAGATGTTCGCGTTTTAATAAAAATCTGTGTGCATTAATATATGTAACTTTACACGCAATATCAGATCACCGGAATTTTAGCAACGTTTTAGCAGCGCTTAGAGCGCTGTAGGAAATAATGTTAAATTAGGACGAATTTAACTTGCGTGCATGTCCGCGATTTCAAGAGAGAATCCGGGAATTGTTGTTGCAGAGCCCGGAGCACGGCAGCGCCGTCCAAGAGGAGAGAGATACGAAAGCCCGCAGGCAGACTGTCAAGAGTCATACGTCACCGTCTTCCGGCATCAGTCCTGCTACGCCAACGGCCTCCTTTCGCCATAAACCACCGCCGGTTTCGCCAGCGAGGTCCATCACGCCGGAAGTGATACAGGTCGGTCTCCTCACATGCGTCACATCCCTTCAATTATATTTGTAATTGGAATGCTAGCAATAATTGTGTCGCGTATAATTATCTCTATTAAACATTGGATAAAAGTACGAAGTTGGAAATCAGGAAGTTCTCGGAAAATTTATATTGAAAAGTATTATTTATTATGGCAATTCGAACGGTAGCTCATCATTCCGCGTGATCGCAGTGTTTTTCGATATACTTTTTTGAGTTTGACAGCTTTTCGATTCTTCGAAAAAATCTCTTTGCATCAACTGCAAGCTCATCGTTAGAAAAGTATCATACTGTTTTCTATGTAGCGCAGATTCTTTCAGATCTTCTTTTAATGGTCCAAATACTTTATAATTTGATGGCTCTGACCTGTATCGAGAATGTGATAAGACGCTTGTCGAATAATGATGAGCTTGCAGCTTCGACGCATTTGTAAGTAATTTTTTAGAAGCAAAAAAAACTTTTTTCAAAAAATCAAAACGGGACCGCTAGAAGAAGAATAATGATATTGTATTATTATGGAAATGTGAGCTATTGTTTGAACGTTTTTATAATAAATAAATATGTTTTCAATAACGCCCACCCGAAAATTGATTGACTTATTTTCGTATTATTAAATTTTACATTTTTTTCGGATTCCGTTGCTCTGAATGACAAAACACATTTCGCAAAATAGAATGTAAAATAAATTTTTTTTTTAATTTCTTCAACAAAGCATCAAAGAAAGGTCTAACGCGCGGACTGCAACAATTTATGCAAAGCAAATATTTACTCATTCTAGTGAATTAAAAACGCACCGTTCATGCGTTCATGATTCGTGTCTTTGATCTGTTTACCGCGAACGCGCCGGGCACGAGAGGAACAAATACAATTGCTGCACTAATTGGTAAATAGGAGGAAAAATGCTACGCCGACAGGCACAGCGTTCCGCACTAATTAATTTCTTTAATTGACTCGCCGGAGTGCACTTTTCACACGACGGTAAAACGTATTTCCATTCTAATTAAGCGAATGCGGGGGCTACACGGGTTAGGATAATGATACTTATTGTACCTGCGAGCATTAAGCATTCCAGTAATTGGTTCATGCAGTTTACGAGTGTTTACTTTATTTGAATAATTTGTACCTCGTATTATGGTATTTGCGTTTAGGTGGATTCATAAGAATAATTGCGGTGCGTTTTATCAAATGAAATATGCGCGCAAAAAAAGGATAGGACGTGTTATTACATTCGCTATTAATAAAATGTATCTTCTTGCAATTAATTTAATTTAATAATAAGTTGAGGGAACAAAAATAGAATCATCGCGTGTTAATTACGTATTGCATTCGCGAGCGCCGCAATCAACGCGGAATATCGTTGCCTCTTGTAATTTGTCGCAACTCGCAATCTTCGAAAAGTCGGTCGACAAATTCAACGTTTCTCTCTCGCGCGGTCAACAATGATGCCGAATATCACAACGCAATTTCGCCGTTCGATTTCAAGCATTCCTACATTACATTATTTATTGTCCTCGAGAATATTTCACGAGAAATCTTAATGTTATTATTATAATTTGCATGCAGATGATAATTGACTTCTGTTATCGACAGATAAAAGAAGAGTTAACTTTTCTCTGTTTGAAAATATCAATTTATTCGTTGCGTAGCCAGGACTCCAGGACGGCGACGCTCAAAGCATCTTGCGCGGCGAGTCGCAACGACAGAGTGCGAAAAGTTCGAATGGCTCAGCTTCCGGTTCGCGAAGGTAGGATCGCGGAGACTACATTGTGTGCACTTTACTTTTCCCATCTTTAGAAAAAACCAATCGATGGCACTTATCGTTTTTTAAAAGTCAAAGTACGAGATTATTCTGTTTTCTTCTCTTCAAATCGGGAAATGTTCTCATCACGCCTCAGATCCTCCATGAAGAAGTCAATTCGACGAACAGCCCCTTCGCCTCCCGCGAATCCGGGCATCCTGCGCGAAGTCAGCGAGGAACGGGAGGATCATGCCGCCGTTGCCGCCACCGCCGCCGCCGCGGAACCCGCCGCGAAGCCCAAGTATTCCTCGGACGAGAGCTCGGACGAGGACGAGGAGGATACTCGGATGTTGGAGGGCAACGTCTACACGAAGGATGGTGTCGAGGTAACAACCGATCGAAACGCTTCCGATTACCGGCTCGAAACGCGCCTGTGTAAAAATTCCTCTGCTTAGATTTCGAGAAAAAGCGCCGGGAACCTGAAACGCACGAAGGCCGAAATCGAAGCGGATCCGGAAGAGGAGGATGAGTTCGGCTACACGAATAGTAAGTGATTCGTGACGTTTCGCGCTAAATATACATCGCAATCGGGAAGCAATCTGAAATTGGTATTTATACCCTCTCTTTGCGTCAAGAAAAATCAATATTCATTCTATATAAGCACTTTGTTACGTTCAGTGGTCACTAATAATGGTAGGGAAATTCAATTTTGCTGCATTCTTGATTATCAACCTTTATACATTGCGAGAGATGGTTGATTATATTATTTTCACCGCATCTATTATAAAATCCAATATAAAGCGTGAGTGGAAGATCGTAGCACAATCGAAAAGAAGATTCCCCGCGCAAAAATAAATCGGCAATGCGGGATGCAATTTTTTTACGCAAGTTTTTGCCTTCGAAAAAATTTGAAATTAATAATACATCTACATTTTTTCATGCTCATTACGTCAAATTCGTCTTGATGGAAATTATAAACACATAAATAAATAAAAATATACAATATTTTGTCCAATAAATCAGTTTAAAATAATTTAAATTGCTATAATGTATGAAAATATATTTTTGTTTGTTATCTTGCTGAAATATTGTAACTTTTACACACATTTTAGTAGCTGTTATAGATGAATCCAATGTGACACAAAATTGTTAAAAATTATTCAAATTTAAATAAATGTAATAAATGTTATCAACTTTTCCAATTTCAAAGTTTAATTTTTTCGAAAGTAAAATCTTGTGTACGAAAATTTTATTCGTGTATTTTTTTTACAAATTTACATGAGAAATCACGTTTCTTTTTCCAAGTGTACGATGATTTCCGATATATTCGGTGTATGCGCGTTACGTTGTTGGCCGATCGATCACGTGGCCGATCGATCACCATCACGTGGGAATGGTCTTTTTAATTTTGCAGTGAAGATCCAAAAAAGGTATCAGAACCTCGGACATAAAGTGGTTATGGTGACCCTCGAGAGGGACAGATACGGACTGGGCATCTCCCTGGCAGGACATAAGGACAGAAACCGAATGGCGGTGTTCATCTGCGGCCTCAATCCGAAGGGTGCAGCTCATAAACAAGGCGGGCTCCTTATCGGCGACGAGATATTGGAAGTGGGTACTTTACTTTCCCCTCCCCTCCTTTTTACGACTTGCCATTTACGACTTCGGTTTCGCACGATTCCCCTCCACTTGAGTCACCTGATCGGGCTGTTTAATCTTCGATTCGCGCGCCGCCTAATCTTGTTTAACTTGTCTGTCGCGACGTTACGCGCGAGAACCTTGCGGGTTTTCTTAGGAAAACAACAACACTAACACTTCTGCTCGGCACGGTGTTTGCAAAGTTGAGAAGTAATTGCGCTTCGGATAAAATAACGAAGATGGCGGGCGAGAAATTGGTCCTCCGCAGTTTGCGACAGACAATTTTGACACTTAATGAAATACTCACAGTTTCAAATATTATTAATCCTCCGACATCTTTGTGAGAGAAAGTTTGATCGAGCAAAAATGTTGTATTAAACAAAGTGAACTGAAATCCCAATGACCTTTCGCGAAATTCATCTCTTTCATCTTTATCGCACTTGCCATTGGCTCGAATTTTGCAAGTCTCCGTGCTTTCTCAGTTCGACGAATGGTGAATTTATAAATGATGAAAACAAAAAACTCCGTTTACTGTGCCAATTTAGGTGAACGGTTGCGTGTTGCAAGGACGATGTCATTTGAACGCCTCCGCTCTCATCAAAGGCATGGCCGGCACTTGCTTCAAGATCGTCGTTTATCGGTGAGACACCAGAGCTTTTTCCGCGATGTGTTAGCGTGACGTAGACGGCATGTATAAGAAAATTCATTAAAACTATAAACGGATTTCGCCTATCCCGGTTGCAGAAGATCGAAGGCTGTCGACGACATCGCTGTAAAGCCGATAGTTCAATTTCCAGCGACCTTGGATGACGTAAGTCAATTTGCGGCATCTATATACTTTGTCTTTATCTTGCTCGGCATAATGCGAGAGACCGGTTGCAGTTTTTGTAGAATAGCGTGGCGTCGGTAGGCGCGCGAGCGATGTCACGTAATACAATCGATACGTGTGCGTTGCGTAATTAGCGGCAGCTGCGAGCGCGTTGCGTAATCATTTTATATTTTGATAAATACAAATGATCGATGACAAATTCCGTCATTACGAGCGCTCTTAAGTAACATCATTTGTCGGCTCTTATTTACGATCGGAAAAAATTCAATTTGAATATAAGATGCGTGAAATTGCTCGAGATATTTATACGTTTTATACAGAGTGTCCGATAAATAATGCTACAACTAACGAGAAGATCACGCACGTAAGCAACGCGTGATATGAAAATCCTGAAGAATTTTTAGACTTTCTTGCTTCCCGATTAATTCCTAATGCGGTGAAAAATTATTGCTCGCAGAATATTTTATTTCGACCGACGCGCTTGCAGCTGCAATTTTCAAGAGATCGCATGTTGATAAAATTTTTCGAAAACTTTGTCGATGCGCGCAATATTTGCTTGATAAACTAATTTATCTCGCGATCGGCGATCATCGGGACTCGACAGTCCCCAGCTGTTCAATTTCCGCAACAGCCGTTGTTACCTGGCCGCATTCATACCGCGTCTGTCGCCGACTCATGAATGTAACAATTGGGAGCGAACGGGGGAGGGAGGGGGGGAGGTGGAATGAAATTTTCCCGTCTCTAGTTCAGGTTTTCCCGAGAACAACAGTAACGTAGATGCTATATTTCTATCTGACATGCCGAACAGTTGTCAATGGCAGCGCGGCATCCACGCCACTGCTATTTTCGGCTCTCGACTGATCGGAAAGATACCCTATAGAGGAGTAAAAAAGGCTTCATAGGCGTAGGAAAGTCGAAATAATAACAATAATGTACACCACGACTCAAAAGTTTGGAGCTTACCTTGTAATTTTTAAATAAGTTGACCCATTTTTTAACAGACACCGTTATGTTATTGAAAATATCGACGTGCGAATGTACGAGCGTACATTATGTGAGTGAACTGATTAAACTTCGCAAACAATTTTGCAATTTGACTGCTAGATGTAATCTTGATATTCTGACTTCCCGAGAAAAAATGGTATAATTGGTCAGATATATATAATTAGTTGTGAAAAGATCTAATAACATACGTAACTTTATATGATTATATAAATTATTACATGCTACCAGATCTTTTTATAACTAATTATATATATTTACATCTGATCATATTAGATCATATTACCGTTTTTCCTCGGGTTAGAAATAATTTTTAAACATTTCTCCACTTTTCAGCGAAAAAAAAACAGCTTTATATAAATAATTTTATTTTCTAGCATTAAATTAAATGTACATATGTATATTCGTAAGGAAATGTCGATATTTCCGATAAAATTATTGTATCTGCTGTCGTATAAAAATTGCAGAACGCTCCAAACTTTTGAACGCTAGTGTACTTCCACACGAAGTACGTTAACCTGACTTCTACGTATTTATTGTAGCAGGACCGCTACATCATCCTTAGTTTGTATTGATCCTCCGAAATAGTAGAATCACATTAAGATGGTTAATGTTTGGGACTTTGGCACGGTAATATTTCAACAACAATTAATTGAAATATATGTCTCAATACATTACTCGTTGTTATTGATTATCATTGGAATGTAGTTTTCGAATAAGAAAAAAGTTCAACATATAAGATAAAACTTTTCTGTTGTGTCGCGAGAAATGAATTGTTCCACATTTTTTCCTTTTTTTCATACAGAATCATCACATTTCTGATTATACCATTAATTATGAGGAGGGGGGCGGGAATAAATGTACTGTAATAAATAAACTTTAAATCTGCTTTTATTTTATTTTTTTTAAGCACAAAACTCTTTCGTTTGCACATTTCTCATCCACACATCCGCAGGATGTTGAGAGGACTTCCTCTCTCTCGCCGGTTGTACTGCGATTTATCGATATCATACTGTGTGCTCTTCTGTGCATAAAAATTATCTTTCTAAAACACGTATTTGACGCCACAAATCACATGTAATTATATATATGTTTGTGAAGTGTGAAAACGTATCGTATCGTCACGAAAGATATTTTGTGTTTCAGTCCCTCACGGATTTCGAGAAGTACAAGGGTAGACGCACCGTGAGGGTGAAAAAGGCAAGTCCGTATAATTGTGCGACCGCCCGATATTTTGCCTTTTCTCCCCCTCTTGCTCTCTCGTACAATTATTTTTAATACTAACATATTGATTGTCATTCGTAGGGTAATTGGGGCCTAGGTATTATGATCATTGAAGGGAAACACCTGACCGTAGGGCGAGGTATCTTTGTGTCTGACATTCAAGAGGGCAGCGCCGCGGATCTGGTAATTTTCGCTCGCCCTATTTTAAGCGAGACATGTCCTTTAACGGAACGATCCTTTACATTGCAGGCTGGATTGCTAGTGGGCGACATGATTCTGGCTGTCAACAAGGACTGTTTGATAAACCAAACGTATCAAAAGGTTCGTTTTTTTTACATTTTTTTATTTTTAACACATTTATTAAAGACACCGTCTGATTTATTCAGACGTGTTTACGCGCTTGACATTTTTCCCGAACGATTCGAAAATAAATCCTGCGTTTATATATAACATTTTTTCATCATTTTTAACGATTAGAGCACAAAGTTTGATTTCTTATTTTCGAAACGCTCGATACAGCCCTTCTCATTAATCCTTTTCAGGCGACAGATTTATTGAAGAAAGCGGAGGGCGTTGTCGAGCTGACGGTGTGCAATCCTAACGTGGATGCGGAAGAAGAAGAAAAGAAAAAGCACAAAGAGGAAGGCTCTAAGGCTCTTGGATTAGATGCGCAGAAGACGCCGCAAAAGGGTACGCCGGGTAAGTTTGACGATTAATAGTAAAGTTAGTTATTAATTAATTATTAATTAAGTAAAGTTAGTTGTTAATAGTAAGTTTGACAATTAAATTTCTATCTATCGATCTGCGCGAACTTTCGTACGCACATTTAATTTGTAAAATTGCGACTTTGTGTGTGATCTGCGTTTGATCTTCTGCTAGCGAAACCGGCAAAAACACCAGAACCCGAAGTGCCGCACGATCCGAAGACCTGCGAGATACCGATCGACAAGGAGGTGACGATAGAGCTTGAGGCAGACAAGGATTGCACGTCGCTAGGTATCGAGCTGAGTGGTGGTTCGGGCACGCCCATGGTGAGTGTATTTCACATTTACAAAAGCCGCGCACCGTAAATTTTTCATTAAAATTATATTAAAATCGACTCGGAATCAAATATGACTTCCTTATCTGCTTATTTTCTCTCAGATTTAATAAGCGAAATAGTTTTCCTTCGCTGTAACGGAAAACTTACGATTGATTTAACGCCAACATTTTCATTAAAAAAATTGATTCCAAATAAGAAAATCTGTCGCTAAAATAAAGTCGTGAATTATAAGACGTACAAAGAAATATTGACAGCAAACAATAATATATTTTTCAAATATCTCAAGCGTTGATAATTATCGATACTAATTATTGTCAAAATTCTTAAAAAGGAGCATAAAGAGCCACACAGCAAGTTTGAATATAAATAAACGTTTCGGCTTGTCATCAAGCCTTTTTCAATATTAGTTACAAAAATTACAAATAAGCCGCAACGATAATGTAAATTAATTAATACACTATTATCTTTGCACGATCAACTTGCTGCGTAGCTCTTTATGCTCCTTTTTAAGAATTTTGATTTTGACAATCACAAGAGCCTTGTATCATTATAATTTTACTAATTATTGTGTTAATTTAAGTGTCAAGATTAACATACTTTTAAGAAATAATGTTTGATTTCAGGAAGGAATATTTATTCTGGATATTTACGCAAACCGCGTGGTCGCGAACGACCGTCGTCTGAAAGTTGGCGATCAGATTCTCGCTGTAGGCAGCGAGAATTTCAGGCAGATAGAGCTCTCGAAAGCAAAGGAAATAATTATGAAGCAAGGTCGTACAAATGTACGTAGAGTTCTTACAAGTAATCGTTCTTTTATCTGAAATACGACTCTTTTTTTTTAACAAGAGGAAAATAATACGAAACAGTATGCGATTGGATTCACATCGCTGCTTATACCTATATTATGTCGTTTCATTACATTTCCTCGGTGAATTTTTATTCGTCTTATTTTGTAAGCGCAACGCTGCGATCGTTTTGTTCGTTTGCAGACCTCAATGACGGTGTTGCGCCACGAGAAACCCGAGGAATACGAAGTCGAAATACACAAAAAGTCCGGCAAAGGAGCCGGTATCTGTTTCAGGGCGTTTTCCCACACGGGAGTTTACGTGAGCGAATTGGTGAGTAGTTTTCCTAAATTCTACCGGCACGAGGGACACCTCGCCACTCGGCGCGTTCGCCGTGTTCTATCAATTTACGCCTCCGCAGACCCCGGGCGGTCAGGCCGCGGAGACCCGCAAGATGTGCCTGGGCGACCACCTTCTGACGCTCAACGGAATGGACGTTCGCGAGGTTAACATCGACGACATCGCCTTTAATATAAAGCTATTGGACCCGCTAAAACTGAAGCTAGCTAGATACACATCCGCCAAGAAATGACAGGTGAATTATGCGATCGAGTGAGCTGTGCAGAAGAGTGGAATAAGTAGAATTTCAACGGAATTTTAAAATACGCATTTTGCTTTCTATTTTATGAAAGAATCATTTCAGATAAAAGCGTATTTATTGTGTAAAATGTTTAAGTTTTATTATAAAATATTGTGATTTTTGTGAAGATTGCATAAAATAGAAAGAGACAATGTGCAAAATCAATATTTACGGTTTGAATAATTACTTCAGAAAATTCTGTTTTTTTTTATTTAATTTGGACGAAAAATGAAGTTAAATAAAAAACGGAATTTTCTGGATTAATTCACCGTTATTCTACGTGACTTATGCCGTTTTTTTCTTATTTCTCTATGATTTTATGATCTTTGAGTAACGTTGCAGCAAAGACTTTTTAAATACAGATTAATTCTTTTATTGTGTAAATTAACTTCCTAATTAGTGCAAATTGTCATAATTGATATATTAGCGAGTGGAAATTTTGAAACCAGATTGCGACACTTCACCATGAATATACTCGAATAATTTTTTAGGATTTTGCGGGTGGAACTCTCGCACGTCTCGATGTACGAAGAAGCGTCTACAGATACCACGGATTCTAGTGTGATACATAAGTGAAACAAAGTTTTAATAACTATAAGTACCTTCGTTACAAGAGCTGTGTGTAAAATAGCGCGGTTCGCTGCATTAACTACACGTCTCAGCGTTGTCAATCGATCTTGCCGTTCGAACTTGCAGACTCGCGTGCAGCACGAAGAGTAAGAAAGACAGAGAGAAGTAGAACGATAAAGATAAAAGGCGATAAAGAAGCGGCGTCTCACGGAACGGCACGGCGATTTCGTGAAACCGGCGGTGAGAAGCGATAGCTTTAAGGGACAACTTGGGGGTCGAAATCAATCGTTTTGCCGATTGCCAAGTAGCCGATTCTGTCGATGGAAATTCAGTCGACGCGAGTTTGCGAACGATTCCGTCTGCCGATGCGTCGCGCCCGTGCGAGTAGCCGATACACAGCGTCCACACACGTACTATCGCAAATATGTAGCGAGCCAACGCCGTGATAGCGTCGTTAATATCACCGATTAACAACGACGAGCGTTCCCGTCTCGTTCGGCGTACCGTAGGACAAATAAATCGATAATAATCGGCGAGCCTACATCCGCGACACGTAGGCTCGCGACGATCGAAAGGAAAGGAAAAAAAAAAAAAAAAAAAAGTAAGTGTCGCGGATCGTTTAGATCTATTCTCTTCTCTTCGGATACACCGCTCTCCTTGATGTAAAACCGCGAACTCGCTTCTACGTTTCGTACTACACTTCGTATATACTTAAGGCAGGCATGTAGTAGAACCGATTGTAACGCGTGTCTTGTCGATCCGATAAAATAAATCTTTTTTTT